CCAACCTTCATGAATTTAAATATTTGTCGCCATAGCTAACCTGTTGAAAACTTTAAATATACTTAATAAACCAAGCGCTATTGGTTGCATTAAATGCATCTGAGTTTGTCAACAGTTCTAATAAATCTACTGAGCAGCATTGTAATTGTAATAAAAAATGACAGTCAAACTGGAAAGCAGATGTTACATACTGTACAGTATATGCATTCCGTAAGGCACACCAGGCTTTAATATAACATGCCTTTGGGTCTCATATTGTTTATGATCTCATGTACAGGATCCAGTAAGAAGCATCATATATGGACGCTTGTTGTGTCTACATTAATTTCTGTTTTTTTGTTCATAGATGAATCGTAACACACTCGGCACTTCCAATAGGTACTTGCCCTCATCTTTCTTACAGTAGTTTATTTCTCCTGACAAGCAAAGAAGTTGGAGCTATACCCATCATCACACGTAGTTCTTTCCTTACCCAAAAGCTAAAACCTAATGTAACCCTTAAATTACCCGTAACATGTAATCTGCCATTAACCTAACCCTGGAAAAGTTAATCACCCTAAGGTTGGCTTCACAATTATGTGTTGTAGCAACACACACACTTTAACACAAGTTACCCCAACACAGGTACCTAGGCATTATGATGCTATGGTACCCCAACATACTAACCCCATGCACCTGTGTTGCAGTCCACCACATCCCACAGTAGCACACTGCATCAGACTGCACAGGTGTGAAAGGGCCCTAACACTTAACTCTGAACCACACCCTAGCCTTAACCTTATTTTGAAAATTAACCCTTCCTTATACTTAGGTTTAAAACAAAACCTAATACTTAAGGCCCCAAAAGCTAACCTTAAACATAATGCCCAAACTCTAATCCTACCCATAATCTTAGGCTGCATTTACACTGGGCTTGTATGTGTGTTCTGGGAATGCTGCGGCAAGAATCTACAGATTCTTGTGGCTAGAATCCTAGGTGTGCCCATTCAAATGAGGCCGTTGTACCCGTTCAAGTTAATGACAGGATGACAGCAGCCGCATCTGCCAGCAGCAGTCCACATGTAATCGTACATGGTACAATTACCTGTGGTTTGGGATAGATGATTGCCCAAGGATGCAGGATAAATGTCTCCAGGGACGATCATCTATCCCAAACAATCATCTATCCTAGGGATGCACCGATACCGGTACTAGTATTGGTATCGGTGCCCATACCAAGTATTTTGAAAAGTACTCGTATTTGCCCAAATGCACCGATACTTAGCCCGATACCGGAGCTTTCCTCTGCAGTGCCGCGAAGGAACACAGAGCCAGCTTCCAATCCAATTAGAGAGCCGGGCAGCACATCCTGACCCGCCTCCCAGCTTCCTGATTGGCTAGTAAGCCAGCTTCACTTGTTGCTAGGCAGCCTGGCTTCCTGACCAATCAGGGAGCCAGGTGGCTGCCTGGCCAAGACCCGCTGCCTGGCTTTCTGATTGGTAAGTAAACCAGGGTGCATAGCAACAAGTAAAGCCAGCTTCCTAGCCAATAAGGAAGTCGTAGGGTGGGTCATGTCAATCTATCCAACACTTGGGATTCCTGCCCCAAGAATCCATTGGTGCTTACCACAGGAATACTAGAATGCATGAAAATGCCCCGTGTGAATGCAGCCCTAACACAAAATTAAAGCAGGCCTTACATCAAAATGCAAGCTCTGCTTAAAAGTTATACTCCCCACATATAAAAATGTTGTAACAAACAAAAAAAACCCACACATTAGGAGAGCACTTACAAAAAAACTTAACTGTCTAGGCACTGCAGGCAGAAGTTGAGGTGTAAGGTTGCTATATTTTTTAAGTTCTCCAAATTTGTTTTAGTTTGTATCATGCAACAGTTTTACATGGGGAGGCGGGGAGGTCTTGCTAATAAGCGCACCTTGTATTTTGATGCAAGGTCTGCTGTAACACCATCAAACCCATATTTACCTTGTCATCACCAAAGTACCTAGCAACCCGGTGCCAACATCAGAGCCAAAACCACCATGTCTTTGTGCAAAAAGAAGCAACGTTAAATGCAGGTGCCAAAACTAACTGATTCTAAAGACATTTCATCCAACGTTAATGTTGCCTGCTGTGATTGTTTGCAGTAGCTAAGCCATACAAATATTGTCTGAAGGTATCTAATCTGTTAGTATCACCAGCCAGCCACGCACACATATTTTAACAATAATAAAACTATCTGCAAGCTATCCAGTTTATAGCGAATATTATATTTATAAATAACACTACTATGTAATCAGGAATGGTATCATTTAGATTTTCATTTTGTAATCACTGAAATGAGTGCAATATACATAAAAACATCCGCTGCATAGGACAGAAGGCTTTTCTTCAGCTTGCAGTATGTGAGTGCCCCGAGGGAATGAATACTAGCCAAGGAATTCTCTCTTCTGGGAAGCACAAATGAGTGTGATGGATCTTATTGCTGGCCTTTCCTGGAGCATTATCTGTAATTCACTGGACGGACACTGTGCTGGCAAAGCCTGCTAATTTTAATTCCGAGAGAGGCTTAGTTACTTTTTTGATTAAAACAGACAGATAGCGGAAATGCAGTTATCTCATAATTCAATGAATTATTATAAAGGTTATATAAAGTTATTTTATACTGATTACTTTTACATTTTCTCTCGCCTGCTTTCATGATCGTGTTTCTAACAGAGATTGACAGTTTTTCCTGCAGTAGATGTCTGCATGTCAGACTGAGCGGAGATCTCTTATAAAGTTTAAAGTGGCATTTGTTTACTTTCCTGTGCCTCTAGCAGAGATCAATGTGGTTGATTGAACAGATCTGGGTGGAAGATATCTCAGTGGAGGTGGAAAGGAGGGAAGAACCACACAGTATGGCATACATAACCCAGTCCTATTTAATTCCACCTCAATAAACCTATCCTAGCTTACTTTATGGAGAATGAAGTGAAGTTTCTTGCTTATCCCCCTGGAGAATTACAGAACCTGTGGGAAGTGTGGAACTGTTTCCTAACCACGAGAGAATAGCATTATATTCACTGCAACAAATCCTACACCCAGGTCTTTAAGGAAACACCCAATATTTCAGGATATTCTCCCAGTCTCTGGAGATGCTCTGCATTTGCTCAAGACTACAAAGACATACAGTGATGCAACCTGTTCCCTGAACCCTCTAGTCCCACATGATCTAGGACCAGTGCAGCAAACTGTCAGCACTCTGCGTTTTGGCATCTGGCACTATATCTATCCTGTCAGTGTTGGGTGGAGTGATCTCATACCCGACAGTGCCTGCATAGGTCCAGCATCAACATCATCTAGCAGTAGACAGAAGAACTATGCAGGCACCATCAGGCAGGAGATCACTACTCCATCATAGATCCAGTGAGAGAAAGCAGGGACATGGACAGGAAGGGCAGGGCATGGAGTGTCTTCTCAGGTAAGTAACTTCTGAACACCAATGATGGAGCAATTTTCATTCCACTGACAACAGGGTTGTTATATCCTAGTGACATCAATAGGTCCCGGAGTGGGGAGTCCATTTCACTGACACCAGCTGAGGGGGAGTTATCCCACTGACACCAATTAGAGGGGAAGTTTAACCCAGTGACACCGACTAGGGGGTGTTTGCTAGCTTTCATAGACCCTAATCCATAAAAATCTTGTGACTGAGATTTTACTGCAAAGAAAATAGATAATATGAGGGTCTCAGAGGGCTTCTGGATTCCAGGGATGGATTTATTTAAAAAAGCCATGTGTGCGTCTTTAAGTATATAAATATTAGTTACAAGGTAAATAAGGGTATACAGTATATTCTGGTCCAAAAACAATTGATTTTAGAGCACGACCACCAGGTATGACACATGGTTCCTATTTACTCGCACTGTGTGAAACATAATGGTGAGGTCTCAGGAAAAATGTTTGCTAGTACAAAGTACCATTGGAGAGAGACTTTATAATTTGCATCCATGAGAAACATGTTTAGTACATTCTATTTAACTATTTGTTTTTAAAAAGGGTATTACAATACAGTTTACATACTGTATAATGCATAGTGTGGGGCCGCGTTAAATGATAAATAGGACCCTGGACGTTAATTCCACTATTTTAAGACATTTTCTGTTTCCAGGACTAAAGGCCAATAAATGAGTAACTAGGAACACAGTGTCTGCTTCTTGTACCAATTTATCAAAGATTGTTTATGAACTAACTGCAGTGAAAAAAACATGTGTAATCTCATAGTGACAGCAATCGAGCGGTGCACATAATACCATAATCCCCAAATGGAAAATGTATGTGGCTATGTTGTCCAGTGTAGACCCCAAAGATTACATAAGAGAAGTTAATTTAAAAAAAAGGCTGCGGTTGCGCTGATCACAATGGATTGCATGAATATGACTTGATCTTTTCTGGATTTAGAAAGCTACATGTTGGAGTTACAATGTAATGACTCAGGACAAATGACTCAGCACAGTACAGGTCATCAGGTAGTAGGCCACACATCCTCAAAATCCAGTACATTCATCTCTGTAATTAATATTTGAGATTACTGACTCTATGTAGATTTTATGTGTATGCGGCTAAAAAGATATTTTTTCTGTAAAGTGCACGTCAGATCCAATTTCTATACTCCTGGTGGCTATATTGAGATATTACTGATCATAATGACCCTTTTCCTCACAAACTGGCTATTGCTTGATATGGTATAGCAAGATATCAGTGCTTTACTTTCGGAACAGTCTTTATTCTTAGAAATTGTAGAGCTGCAGGTGACAAGATTTGTCTTGGCATATTGTATCTAGGTATTTGAGTCAGGGGTGGCACAAAGTAGGGAGAGTGCTATAACTATTTGGGACAGGGGTTACTTGAGGTAGGGAGGGCTGTCACTATTTGGGTCAGGGATAGCAAGAGGTGTGTGTGGGGCGGCGGTTGTGACACTATAGTAACAAAAAGTTAAACATTCTTTTTAATAAGTGTTGATTGGATGAAGAAACTTACATATGAGCCATAGTCCACTGCTAGGGTCTGTAACGCCCATGGAAGTCCAAGTCCAATAAGAATGTCAAATACATTGCTCCCAATTGAATTTGATACAGCCATGTCTCCCAGACCTATAAAAAAAAGAACAAATTAACCAGAGTAATTGTTTGAATGTTACTCTTTTATTCTAATTAAGGTTAGTTCTGAAGAAAGCTCTGTGGGGCCCTGGATTAAACTCCCCATGGACACCATCTTCTATGGTCTTCTTGTGTTTGTGTCGGACTTTTACCTTTATCCAAAAATATACTGTGTATCTGTATGACTGTGGTCATTGTCGAACTGTAAGCAGGAACTGTTGAGAATAATCTATGTACTCCAACTCCTAGAACCGCGAGTGTTTCTGACTTAGGGCTCAAGGAGATGCAGATTTGACTCCCCTCGACCTCTACATACACTAACTAAATCCATGAACATCTATTTTTAATTTAAATCATACATGTGTTTTTTTTTTTTTTTAGAGCAGAGCAAAAGGTTTGCTTTAACACCCACCCACCCCCCTTTACCTTTTCTAAGCATATACTTCATTCAGTGCCGGGATCCAAAGGCAAGGCCTGGTACTTCTGGGTATGGACGAACTTATGACTCACACCAGGAGATAGTGTTGAGCCAATTTCCACTGTCTATAGCTGTGTGTAAGCTATGACTCAAATGCCTCATAGCTTGCACAGGTCTTTACTTCACTCCTGGTATCTGAGTAGGAGGGGAACAAGTTCATGTTCTCCCTGTGCTTGCGTTGGTTTCCTCCGTGTAGTCTGGTTTCCTCCCACACTCCCAAGACATGCTGGTATGTTAATTGACTGGGAAGGGCTAAGTGAACTTGTTGCTTTGCCCTGTGTGTGGAAAACACAAGCACTCGATTAAGTGTGCATGAAGTAAAGCACTTTTTTATTAAATTGTCACATGCGTCATACAGCCAACGTTTCGGGGCCCTCCAGAGTCCCTTCTTCTGGGTGACATAGTGACAACAACAAGTATGCGACTTCAGCTTTATATAGTGAAACCACACAGAATTCTGCGTGGCCCCAAAACGTTGGCTGTATGACGCATGTGACAATTTAATAAAAAGTGCTTTAGTTTTGCACACATCATCAAGTGCTGGTGACTTCTATTATAGACTGTATCTAACACGGCATCATCCGTGTTGTCACTTCAAGCACCAACCTTTCATCCAAGGTCTGTTCGCTGTAGTGAGTGCAGGTGATTTCGTATTATCGGGAAAAACACAAGTTTACAGTAGGTACCCCAGTTGTTTGATTTGGAGCATCCCAGGAGTCTTACATGCATATACTTGATGGGCTGATTGAGAACCTGCCCCTACTCCCTCCTGAACCACACTAATATTTCATTACGGTGATGGACTGTTTCACTGGTACCAGAGGACACCCCATGATTTGCCTTCCTTATCCACAAAGTCTCAGTTATATACTTCTCTGAGTGCAAGAAGTATTTTTGAAAGTACAGAAAGTGCATTACAATCATCTCAGTTGCTCCATTTAGGAGATGGACAATAGACCACACTAACCTTGTCTTGCTACTATCAAGCTGGCCATACAGTCTGGTACACTTGTTCCAGCCGCCAGGAATGTGATCCCCATAATTACATCTGGTATTCCTAAAGTGTAGCCAATGATAGTAACCTGGAAAACAAGAATACAAATGTAACCAACAGTATTTCAGAAATACAAACTGTATCTAATTTGTACTTTCTATACCATGTATTTTACACACACACACAGCATTTTAGGGCTTGAATGTTTGCATACATTTGCAAGCAATAACACAATGCATACATTTTTATATAATAATTACTTGTTTTGTGCATAGAGGTTTCTATGTGTAGACAATCTGGGGGTCCAGGTTAAAGTGATATTAAAGTCAGAAAGCTTTTAAGCTTTTTCAAACGCTGATTAAATCACTCACAATGGATGCTGCTCCTTGATGTTTAAAAGTTTTAGTTTCCTGCAGAATCAGCTGGTCCCCTGAAAACTGGTCCTGATATCCTGTTTTAGGGTGTCACCTTTCCCTTGCAGGGCCCTATGGAGACACCCTTGTGTGTGTTAGTAAGCTCTGTGTGTCTCAACAGACACAGCAAGGCAAGTCCGTTAACTGCTCCCCTCCCCTCCTTCCTCCCTTCTCCAGGCTAGTTGATAGACCGCTGCTGCAGACTTTACTGTCCCTTGTGATCCTGTACTGGACAGGAAGTTCAGGGAAGCTGAGCTGAGAGAGTTGGAGTCAGCTGTTCAAAAACATGACCAACCTACTAACATTCTACGAAGAGGTGAGTAGAGATCTGGATGGTGGGAGGCCGTTGGATGTGGTACATCTGAATTTTGCCAAAGTATTTGACACAGTGCCACATAAACGCTTAGTACACAAGCTAAGGTCCATGGGCATAGGTGAAATGTTGTGTACGTGGATAGAGAACTGGCTACAGGAACGTGTCCAGAGAGTATTGATAAATGACTCTTTTTCAGATTGGTCTAAGGTCGAGAGTGGCATAGGGGAGTGGGCAACTATATGGCAGATGAGGTTTAATGTTGAAAAATGTAAAGTAATGCATTTTGGGGTTGAAAACAGGCAAGCGGAATACACATTAATGGGAACTCCACTAGGGAAGTCAGAAATGGAAAAAGATTTGGGGGTCATAGACCACAGATTGAATAATAGCACGCAATGCCAGGCTGCTGCAAACAAAGCAAGCAGAGTACTGTCTTGTATTAAAAAGGGTATTGTGGAGACAAAGCGATCATTTTGCCACTGTAAAGTTCACTAGTTCCGCCTCATCTGGAGTATGCGGTCCAGTTTTGGTCACCAATTCACAGAAAATATGTTGTTGAGCTGGAGAGAGTCCAGAGAAAGGCAACTAAACTAATTAAGGGGCTGGAGGACCTAAGCAATGAAACAAGGTTACTAAATTTAGACTTGTTCATGCTGGAAGTGAGGAGATTAAGAGGGGACATGATTTTGATGTACAAAATGTTTAGTGGTGATGGCAACATCAGCAATAAACCTTTTACAGTAAACTCCAGAACAAGAACTAGAGGCCACCAGCGTAAATTGGTGGAGAAGGGGCGTAGGGGCTTTTTTCAGTCAGAGCGGTTAAAGTCTGGAACTCGCTGCCACATGTAGTGGTATCAGCAGAGAGTATTGAATCATTCAAGCAGCATTTAGATACCTTCCTCATAGACCGTAACATACAGAGGTACCGGTACACTTAAACACAAGGTCACACAGTGACTCGTGTACACACATACACATGCACAATCACACACAGACACACAAAGGTTGAACTTGATGGACCTGTGTCTTTATTCAACCTCAAATACTATGTAACTATGACTGTAAGTGCTTGGGGAAAAATGTAAAGAAATACTTTGCTGGGCAATGTATATTTATTTGATCTAGATTCATTAATGAAAAAAGTTTGAGCATTTAATACTGTCAGTATTCAAGATCAATGACACATGCTTAATCTGCTAGGTCACCTTTATTGGTTAGCAAAAAATGTGTTTGGAAAATGTCCTACATACAGCAACCCCTATAGGTTCTACTGGTATGGTTGCACTTGGGATATTACAGTTAAGATGTCTGCATTTGTATGCCTATGGTCGGGGCTCCAGAGATTCTCATATTCTTCCTGATAATCCCTACTATGGCTCTACAACTGTCAAGGTTCCCATTCATCCAGGTCATGGTATATCTGAAAAAAATAAATCAAGGCAACTGGACTTGCTGTATTTTTCTTGAAGATGTTTCACTGGTCATCCGACCAGCTTTCTCAATTCAGAATAACTTGTACAAAAGTTGGCTCCAAGCCTCTTAAAACCAAAGCATGTACTCCTAATGCTAATAAGAAATGACCCATGATGATGTCCCCACAGTCATGTCATAGGTGACTATTTGTCATTAGACAAACTGCCATCAGAATGACTGATACTGGATGGTCGCACTGACAGTTCTCAATCTGTGTCTATCTGAGCAAATTCTAACAAATATAAAAACAAGATAGCATGGTCCATAAAAACTATTTAAAGCCTGACATGTTTCAATAGAATAAAAAATAAATAAACCTATCTGATTGATTCCTTTATATCACACAACCCAGTTATGATACAGTCAAAGATCTTACCATCCAGACCATCACATAAGAATAGGCTGCAATCCAGATGGAGGACGAGATAAAAGTAACCATAAACCATTTCTCCCAGCGTGGCTTAGCACAGTTAGGTACAGTGAAGTACATAAGGAAGGATAACGGCCAGGTTACCATCCATTTCAGTCTGTTAGCTCCCCCAGCTGTTGAGGAACAAAATGAAATAATTGCGATGTGTCAGATATATTAGTGCAATAAAACACATGAGTTCAGATTACACAAACAATAAAGTCCACAAGGAGACTGTAAGCAAATATTTATTTCCTGACAATGTTTTGGTGGTTCTGAATCTTGGGAGGTACTTCTCCCTAGGCAGGAAAGCAGATACACAGTCTATTGACCCCATTTAAAAGGGTGTGCTCAACAAATGTGTTGTGTAATGGACATTAAAAACGAATGTACCTTTTTATAAAAGCCAGGAATGGGGCTTTTAAGCCAACATGTCAGATCTACTTAGTTAAAATCACATGTTCATTACAGTATTTCATTAAAGGGTTGCAATAACATTTTCACATAAAAGATAAAATCACATATTCTGATCCTGATTCACATGTAAATAAAAGTTTCAATTTGAAAATGACAGGATCAAATATGGAGACACATTAGACAGTCCTCGATGGTCACTGCTGCAAGACTCCTCTATGCGTTTCGCCAAAAATGGCTTCCTCAGGAGGACAAGAGCAGTAAACTAGAGAGATTATAGTGTATCATAAGAACACGAGTCAGAAATCATGATAATATACTCAAAGTTGATACATGTTCATAACGAATGGCTTACTGTGAACCAGCTAATTGTATGACTCGATTGTGAGTAAACAGTACAGGAAACCCCAGGACACAAGCTTCCCCCAGGGGGGCCGTAGGAGGGGCAAGAGCATAAGAAGGCCACCCCAAATCACCACAAGCAAATTGTAATGTGAACATTTTATAGTAACTTTTAATGAAATAATGTAATAAACGTGATTTTAACTAAGTAGGTCTGATGTGTTGGCTTAAAAGTCCCATTCCTGGCTTTTATAACAGGTACATTCAGTTTTTAATGTCCATATCTAACTGGGGTGTAGCCACTCAGACCTCCCCCTGCTGAACACTATCAGGTCTATTCACAAAAGGGTGAAGGGTTTGGAGAAGGCAGGAGAAGTGAACAATCTAGGACAACATAGCTGAACTGGAAAGTGAGCTGAATTGGAGAATTTTTCCAAATCAGCTATTTTGGCCTCGATTGTTCACTTCTCCTGCCTTCCCAAACTCTTCACCCTTTTCTGAATAACCCTGTATATAATTCTACAAAATGAATAAAGTGAAGAAACCAATAGCAACCAATCAGAAGTCATCTCTCACCTGATGCCACTACAGTGAGCTGAAATATAACTAAAGCTGGCCATACACCTTACAATTATCTGCAGATTGTCTGTGGTCAGATGGAAAAGGTGCAACAGATTCCTCCATCTACAATTAACTGTGTGGATGGAGTAATCTCCACCTGGGCCAACCACAGAAAATCTGCAGATAATTGTAAGGTGTATGGCCAGCTTTAGGTGTATGGGCACCTTGATGCAGATCTAAGGGATAATGCAGTGTTGTAAAATAACACCCTTATCCTCATCGTTGAAAGTAAATATTCCAGCTCAGACCCCAGACCAGACTGTAGCGGCTTTGGAATGTGCAAAATTGGGCAGTATTTACATGCTACTGGGAACCACGTGGGGTGCTGCAGATGTTGGTCTAAATGCCATGGAGAGCAATATTTAAAGGAGGATGTAAGCTCTGCAGGACCCTTCAAGGTCCTGAGAAGGTCCAGCCGCACTGAGAAGACATTGCAGACTGGTCAACATAGTTGACATATCATTTTAATGACAAGGGCAAAGGAAACATTGGGCGTTTTTTTTTTTTTTGCAAAACGTTTTTTCTTTTTTCCGGTTTTTTTTTTTTTTTTTTGCAAGATTTTTCTTATCTTTTCAGGTTTTTTTTTTTTTTTTTTGCAAGACGTTACTTATCTTTTCAGGTATATGTAATCCCTAATAATAAACTTTTCTTATTTGCCCCTTTTTAGTCTTGTCAACAAGACCACTAAATGTGTTTTGTTATTCACTAACCTCAACTCGACATATCACCCAATCTGTCCTCTGCTCCCAAAACCTCCTGTACTTTAGCTCCCTCATCACCTGCTCCAATGGTCAACTCCAGGACTTCTCCATCGTCTCTCCATTCCTCTGGAACTCCCTATCACAATCTGTTTGGCTATCTGCTACTCTGATCTTTACGTGATCCTGAAAACTCTTCAGGGAAGTGAATCCTGCCTTCTCCTAAAAACTGTACTTTTACGTTCTCCATCAGCTCTTCCCTTACGGTTATTACCCTTTGTATCACTTGCCTCTCCTTTTATATTGTAAGTTCTCGTAATCAGGATCCTCCTAATCCTCTTGTCTTAAATTGTAATGCAACTACTGTATATACTGTACTGCACATACTGCCTCCCTTTATTTTGTAATGTTCTGCTGGTGCTATATAAATCCTGTATAATAATAGTATTGATCACTTGTTCGATAAGTGCAAAAAATGCTTGTTGATCCTGCCGGAAATCTTGTATGCTGAAAACTAGGGATGCACCGATATATCGGCTGCCGAAACATATCGGTCGAAAATGGCACTTTTGGCTAAATGACAAAAGTGTAATTTTTCTGCCGATACAGCGGTGCATCCCTGTTTTCTTTCCTCCCCGCTGGGCGCTGCTCTGTGTGCCAGCGGGGAAGAGAGAAAGTGTCACAGGCGGCCGGCGTCTCTCCTCCCACACTGCTCAGTCTCCTGTCACAGTCCGGCAGAGCGGTGTGTGGGCGGAAACAGCCTGAGCTGTCACAGCAAGCTAAGCTCTGCTCGCTGCACCGCTCGCTCAGCCTCCTGTGACAGCTGTCAGGAAGGAGAGCGGTACAAACACTCAGAGATCAGTGACCGCTGAGTGTTTGTACATAATTGAGGACATGGTATGGTTACTATATCAATTATGAATGAATGGGAAGTGATCTACATCACCTCCTGTTCATTCATGATTGTAGTTATAGTAAACAAACAATGTTATAATGTTACAAATGAACAGGAACACTCATAGAGGATTCCTGTTCATTCATAACAGGGGCTGCACTCTGTGTCCTCAATCTCTTTTTCTATTTTAAAAGGGAAATATCAGGGGTCTGTTTAGACCCCCAATATTTCCCCGAAGCCCCTAAAAGTAATGTAAAAAATAAAAATTTGAAAAAATTAAAATAAAAAACATTTTCGGTTTCGGTCTCACATTTTTTTTAATTTCGGTTTTGTTTTTGAAATTTCCATTTCGGTGCACCTCTAAAACTTCCTCTGCTTTCTGCCTCTGCTGACTGTTGTCAGTTAGCATTGTTCCCAGCCATCTCTGTGGGCTACAAAATACCTCCCACCTATGTTATAAAGAAGAGGAAAGTGGTAGGGGGTTCTATAGTCTTGTGCTATGGTGACAAAATTGCTGCTCCAAAGATACATAGTGATTGAACATTGTAACCCTAGGACAGGAAATATTATATTCACAGGATCACAAGGTGAAAATAAAGAAAAACTGTGAAAAAAATAATGCAGCCTCCACATCTAAGTGTTAAGGTGCACTATATTAATATTTTGTTCTTGGGTTTAGATACACTTTAAATGTGTTAGTACCTAAAAATATGATGCCAATCCAGACAGTAAGCAGCATTTGAGAGATTAGAAGATTAGAGAGTATTACCTACGCCATCTGTCCTCTGGTACCCTATCCAATGATGCCTATAAAATGTGTACTTGGGAAAGTGAAATTATTATTTTTATTTTACAGGATTTATATAGCGCCAACAGTTTGTACAGCGCTTTACAAAAGTGAGGGAGACAATACAATTAACAATACAATTTCAGTACAGGAGGTAGTAGCTCGTGAGAGCTTACAATCTATTAGGAGGGGCATTTAATACAAAGCAGTACTGCATTAGAAAGGCAATGGACAATGTACTCAGCAATTCAATTGTATTGTTCTGTCTGCTGTGAACTGAAGAAAAGTTAAATCTTCCTAGTTGCTATGGGATACCACATCACACATCTTTTTTTTTAGCACCCCTATACATAATTTTAGTTCTTTGGTCAAGCTACATTAATCTTGTCACCCACCTCCTGGCACAAACAGTACACCTGCAAATGGGACTAGTTCATGTTTGGAAACACTGGCACTTTAAATGAACCTGTACTTTTATTGGGCAGGGCAAAGCTACAGGTTCGCATTAATGGAGATCTCCACAGATGCATATATACTTACTTTCTCTTCACACCTCTGCCACTCAAATGAGCCACCAGGGCCCATAGAAAAGCCCTGTGTAAGCTATACTGTATGTTGCTGGAGTCATAGTTTAAACAGGGCTATAGTCTCACTGTGTTACAGAACTGATTGGTCCGGTGCTGTCACATGAAGTGAGTCACATGCTCCTCTGTACCTGGAAATATTCCTTTGGCTCATGAAGCTGAATGGAGAAACTATGCAAATGTGAGTAGAAAGGAAAGGATTCAAGTAAACCTTTTGCTTTGCCCTAAAATTTAGGTTCACTTTAAAGCCCAACTGATGTTTCAGTTTAAATCAGCTAAATACACTACACTCCAGGAGCGTCACAACACATATCAAAGGTGTGCAAAGTCTTACCGTTTGTTTTCTTTACAAAGCAGCCATCACCTGAGTGGAAAAACCTGAACCAGCATCTGCAGAATGGGACGCTTGCTGGCAATGTGGAAGCAGTGGTCTCCCTGTAGAGGTCCAACACATGCCCTTCTAAGTCAAATCCAGAACCCTTTAATCAGCAGGGAGCTTTGCTGATTGCAGAACTATAGGTATGAATAAGTAAGGGGTGTGCTGGACCTCTGTAGAGAATCACTGGTTCCACGCAGAGAGAAAGGGTCCCACTATGCAGCTGCTGGCAGTGGACAGGCTTTTCTACTCAGGCTGTGGCTGCTTTAGAAAGAAAACAAACTCTAAAACATTAAAAACATTTTGTTTTTATGCACCTGGAATACATTTACCTGTTTAAAACTATTTCTTCAATTAGGCTTTATGCTTGGTAACAATGGGAACAATTTAGAGGAACACAAAAAAATGTCACATTTTGCTATTGTAAAGGCTTGCCAACCAACTTGAACATAATGGGACTTACAGGGAAATTCAAAGGGTGTGAAAGGTCCATCATTGTCATCATCCTCTTCTTCTTCTTCCTCATCGTTTTCATTATTCTCATTGTCCTCATTTTCGGTCTCATTGCCAGCTTCAGCCACATCTTCATCTTTTCTGGTGCCATTGGCATTTCTCTCTGTTGAGTTCCCTGGGCCCGTCCCATTCTCAACTGCATGTTTGATTGGAATCTTGATAGTGACTTCTGACTCCCCATTAGCATAGCCTCGACTGTTTATCAATCTCTGCCTCTGCAAGGGAAAATCCGGTACAGACATAAGGCTTAGATGTATGGCAAAGATGCATTGGCTTGTTGGAAAACTACCCTTAAAGTGAACCTATTGCAAGGCTATGGACATTTAAGTATTTGCAAATTCTTAACAAGCAGTAAATGAGCTTTAAAACAAGGCTCTGTAGCTGCAGACAATGCCGAGCAATTCATCCTCAAGTCATTTAAGTCGTTCTTTCAGTAGTTCAGCTGAACCTGTCTTGCTCTGACCTATTATTAGAGAATAGAAGGCTGGAAGGCTGCCAATTCACTGCAGACAGTGGGGACAAGGGTGAGCTTGGCCACTGCTGGAAGCAGAAAGCAGCTGGAGCTGAGCTGCTGAGTGACTGACTTGAACAACTTTGGTGCTTCTGCTGTGCACTTTGAGGAAGAATTGCTCCGCAGTGCCTGCAGCCACAGAGGTCATTGATGGCATGTCTTAAAGATTATCTACTTCTAATCCACTACAAATGCTTGAATGCTGATAGACTAGCCAGAGGTTCAATTTAAAGGCAAATGGGATGACTCATTTTTTGACCCTTGGCATTATTGCCAAACACTTCGAGGGCATAGTGAAGCCCTTCTTGCTACTGCTCATATAAATAACACTACCAGATGCAAGAGTCTCATGTTGCCTCATGGTATGAAACAATTTTGGTAATTTTCTACAGCAATTATGTTTTTTTCAGACTTGAATTTGTTTAAGGAAGATATTATATTGCACTTGCAAGCCTTTCAGCCCAAAATGCCATACAAAAATTAGTTTTAGCAGAGCTGTAAATGTTTGAGTATAACATTTAACATTCTATTGAAGGGTTTTCAACTTATACATATACTTGCAGATGTTAAATTATTAAATCTTTGTTGCTGTATTTTTTACTTTAATCATTTAAGAAAGAAAGAGTATATGTTTCTAAAACACTTACCTCATTTATCAACATGCGACTGGCCATGGAAAGACGAGTCCTGGGGGGGAAGTGGCTTGTTATCATGATTCTCAGACCAGCCTCGGAGAATGATAATTGATGGGGATATGCTGACAGGATCTCATCTACCATGATCACTGACGTTTTACGATGGAAATTTCCTGTAAGCAAAATCAATACACAGAAAAAAGGCACAGAGTTATGATTCTACACATTTTACCTGTGAAATGCGAAATGTGAGTTTAATAACCACTACAGCTAGTGGCAATGCCAGAAACTCTAGGCTGACATAAAACAATACCAATTAATGCATTTGTTGGTCACCTAAAAAACATTAAATATACACATACTGTATATACAGTATATACACACACCGACAGGGGTGTGGAAATTTTTGAAAAAACTACTTGTCCAAGAGCTAAAGCGGGGGCCAAATCTACTTGTCCTTCATAACAATCTACTTGTCCTGAGACAAAAAAAAATTTGTTTTAATTAAAACTAGGGATGCACCAATACCGCTTTTTGGGTATAGAGTACGAGTACCGATATTTTGCTTTCGGTACTCACCGAGTATCAGTGCTTCCGTTTTGAACGAAACTGCATGTCCCGGGCGTCGGGCGATAGGAATTCCACACCCCTGCACCGATCAGCCATAACATTATGACCACCCGCCTAATATTGAGTAGGTTCCCCCTTTTGCCACCAAAACAGCCCTGACCTGTTGAGGCATGAATTCCACTAGACTTCCGAAGGTATGCTGTGGTATCTGGCACCAAGCCGTCAGCAGCAGATACTTACAGTCCTGTAAGTTGTGAGGTTGTGGCCTCCATGGATCAAATTTGTTTTTCCAGCACATCACACAGATACTTAATTGGACTGAGATCTGGAGAATTTGGAGGCCAAGTCAACACCTCAAACTCCTGACTACTGCAGACTGCGAACATCCCACAAGAGCTGCAATTTTGATCTGACCCAGTTAACAAGGGCAGCGAACCACTCCTTTTCCTGCATTGTCCATAATACGATAAAAGATCCAAAAGCAAATCCAGCAGAAAAAGTAAGGCATGTTTATACTAACAATGGGTTAATGGAGCAAGGAACTCAAGCTCACAGATCCTACTGGCAAACAGTGGTGGAGATACCCTACAGAGGGCTCCTGCAAAAAAAAAAGAAAAAAATCTGTCCTTTCCCACTGTCAGTCCCCTTGAGGTAAGGATTTAGTAGGTTATATAAACCACCAGAATCCATCCAAAACTGAGGTATCAATTTATGTGTGCTTAGTCTTTCAGATACAGGAGTCCATTTTTACTTTACAAAGCGGTTGCTTCATTTTCAAAGTAAATGTTCAGGTATCTTAAAGAGAAACTTTACCCATATCTTTAAAATAACAACAATGACAATCTACAAACACATATTTGTATTCTTTGCATACCTTATTTCTCTTTTCTTCCCCAGTCTTCTGACAGTGGCCATTTTAACTAAGGGCAGGTTACTAGCTCTCCTTTACTTTCTGGAACTCTGGCACATGTGACTAGGTGACCATGCACATCATCTCATGGGAGGAAAATACCTTTCCCTGAGATCTCATGAGATTATGGATTAGATTTCCCAGCAATTATCTGCTGATCATTGCCAGGATGCAACGCTTGTGCACATTACATTACTTGTGCCAGACGTGGTCCTGGACGTAGATGAACTCTATTTGTAAGTAAATGAAAAACAAGTTTAGCTAATGAAGGTAAGATGATTTTGTATCAGCATGCAGAGCTGCATGCTGATGTCATTTTTAGTGAAAGGGGGTAAAGGTCGGCTTTAACTGAATAAGGTGAAGCTGTATTTACTTCAATTATCCAATCATGTGCCTACAGAAATGCAGTTTTTTTAAACTCACTTGCACATGCTTGGGTATTTGAAGTGAACACAAATTAACATTACTCACTAAGCTAAGTGAACTTTATCTTCTTCTTTAGTAAATCAATCCCAATGACTGTTCTAAGACCCTCCAAGTGTACTGACAATTTACTAAATTGCCATTGCAAACCCCTGGTGAAAACACCAAAAGAATCAGAATATATTTTAATTTTCATGTTATTACTTTTACTTTCATAAAATTCATATCAGAAATGTGCAATTGGAGAAATTAATTTGAATTAAGTTCCCCTTTAAGGTAAAAAAAAACCAGGTGCAATTCTGTTATATTGCTTCACATCTAAAAGAAAAATAGTGAGTAACTGCAATTACCTTTTTTAAGTAAGACCACAGTTGCATCACAGTTGACGTTGTCATCTAAATCTGCATTACTCGCTAGTCCATTTGCCATGTTTCCTGCTCCCTTTTTTCTCTTATCGAAGCAATTATGTATGGAAGTGTTGAACCTGAATCAAGATGTCCTGAATTAGATGCCATATTCAGAATGCTAGTCACTATTCCAAGAACATTGATATAATCACCTTACCAATTATTACAGAATTCTGACATATGTTAAAATGAGCACTTAAAATATACCTAAACTCAAAAAGTGAAAATTTGTTTTCTTAACTGCGCCCCACCTACAATCTGCAGATAAGCATTCCTTGTACTGTTTCATGCTGAGAGAATATTCATGTGCACCCTGCCCCTTCCCCTCATTTGACACTGGCTGCTTCAGTCCCCACTAATGAATTGGAATCAGGGTGGTTCGCCACAATAGGTGAAACTGGCGATCCCATGGCACAGCCATGTTTCTTCCTGTAGAACTTGTTCTTGTACTTGAAATAGCTGGTACTCAAGCAAAGGTCCAACAAGGCACACACTTGATCTGGGTTAAGTTCTGTCCTGCTGCCTAGGGTGTTGTCTAGTAGCAACCATTTTCTCACTGTTCCAATTGCCTCTGTGGTGGGTATGCTCGTGAAGAAGGATGAAACATCATAGGATACCATTGTTTCTTCTCTGCCCAATATTGGTGAGACATCTATTGTCTGCCACATGCAATGCTGTTTTAACACCTCTCTCTGGGCAGGTTAATAACACCTCCTAGACTCCAATTTTGTAAATGCAATCAGCACCTGGTTGTGACTAACAGATTATGTGGATTGGAGCGACATTCACCATATTTATTCCCAGATAATTTTTTGTTCAAGTCATTCTGAATTGAGAATTGGATGGCCAGTGAAGCGTCTTCAAGAAAAACACAGCAAGTCCAGTTGCCTTGACTTATTTTTTACAGATATTTAATGCTCATTGTTCTTCTGGGTGCCTGCTGGAGAGGAGACTGCACCTGAGGAACTGCAGTGCAAGCATCTCCCTGCTGCTGCTTCATTCAGTGGATCTGTGTATTCTTGACATCTCCTGCCACTTTTGATCATTCCCTTCACGGGTCATCAGTTCATCAGAACACCAGTCATCAGGGTTGTGGGACTGACATGAGGAAGCAAAGCATAGCTACGCTATCAAGATGGCCACATCCACACAGAGATATGGTATGGAACATGGCATAGTGAGTCAGTTATGAGGAAACATCAGCTGCAGGGATATCACAGGTAATAATTAGGGAATTAGGGATGCACCGATACCGGTTTTTCGGTATCGAGTATGAGTACCAATACTTTGCTTTCGGTACTCGCTGATACCGAGTACTGATACCGGTGCTTTTGCTGGCATGGAACAGGCTTCCCGCGCAATCTGGAAGCCGGGCAGTGGGTAATGACATACTGCCCATCATCCTGATTGCCCGGGAAGCTGGCTCCATGCTGTTTGGCCGGCTTGATTGTGATTGGCCGGGAAACCGGCTTCCCAGCCAATCAGCATCGAGCCGGCTTCCCGGCAAATCAGGAAAACAGGCGGCGAGTAATGACTTGCCTCCCGGCTCTATGCTGATTGGCTGGAAAGCCAGTTTCCCGGCCAATCAGCAAGGAGTCAGCTGTTTGGCTAGCTCGATGCTGACTGGTCGGGAAGCTGGCTTCCCAGCCAATCAGCATGGAGCCGGCTGTTCGGCTGGCTCGATGCTGATTGGCCAGGAAGCCGGTTTTACGTCCAATAAGGAAGCTGGGAGGTGGGTCATTACTCGCCGCCCTGCTTCCTGATCGCACGAGAAGCTGGCTCCATGTTTCCCTATGGCACTGCCGGTCAGAGGAAACCTTCTCCTCTGACCGGAAGTTCTGGTATGAGGGAAGGTATCAGAGCATTTACTCACCCAAATACTCGGCATCGGCACCGATACCGATACTAGTATCGGTGCATCCCTAGTAATAATGGTGACTAGTTGTCTTTGAAGGTTCTCATTCATCCAGGTCATGGTATAACTAGTAGTAGTTAGTCGCATTCAACTGGATGTGTTCTGTAATATTGAAGATGTTTCATAGCTTCTCCAAGCCACTTCTTCAGTTCTAATGGCAACTAGTTCTTTGTCCTCCACTTTACTTTTTTGGGCCCAACTTTAACAGTATAGGCTTTTTTTTTAACGTTCCTAATGCTACAATAACCATACTACCTTAAACCTGTATTTTTTAATGAAAGTTGTAATTGTGTTTGGGAGCTATTAGAAGATCTCAGAGTAAAGATAACATTAGACAGAGAAAGTTCTCACTACTTACTTCATTATAAGGATGTAAACTGCATACATTAGAACCAAAATCATAGACTCCCACCTTTAAAGAGATATAATAGGTAAAAAGAGTTCTGCCAACAAGACAAGCCAAATAAGCATGCCCCAATATCGCATATAACAGATACATAAATAAAAAAATATACAGTTACATTGTTAAAGTAGAGATAATAGGGGTAATATTTATATATTTCCTTACTTCAGGCGGTTATACCAACAAAATGCCATTTTAATACAGTGACCAGTTCTTATGAAACTGCAATAAAGTACTCTTTCTTTCCTAATAAGTCCCGATTCACTATGCAATAATAATTTTCTGGTAAGTAAAATGTAAAACTATTTTTGTTTATTTATTTTTTCAATTTTAAAAACATCTTATTAGTATTTTTTTGCATTAGAGTTTTGACTTTTATTCAATTTTAAATGATTTTGTGCCTCATTTGTCTTTTCTAACTGCATCAAAAAGGACAGCAATTACCCTCCAGTGACACTCTCTTTGCCTTTGAACGCTTTCTGGCATTTCTTCTTGTGCACTGCTGCCCAGTTTGTATATGAACATGTTTGCACTCAAACTGTACTGGCAGAGCAACATGCACAACTTTCCATTATATTAGTTTGCACAAAAAACTTTCTTGAACCAGGAATGCGAGGGCAAAACTGAGCAATTTTATTAACGCATGATAACTGTGGGACTTTTTAAGAGCATTAGTATACTTACATCAGAAGCAATTTCACCCAAAACCCCACCAACCAATGACGTAGCCAATACAATTCAGTGCAAGGTATTATCTGTAAATACTTTTACCAACACAACTACACTGTACATTCCCATTTGATAACATGTATCACATCAGATTATACTAATATACTGAATTAGATTTATTTTGATAAGGGGGTAATCAGAAAATGTTTACTTACCCGGAGACCTTTTCATCATAAATAAACTGTAAAAAAAAAGATACATATTAATGATACATACCGTATTTGCCGGCATATAAGACGACTCGGCGTATAAGACGACCCCCTACTTTTTGTGTTAAAATATATGTTTTGGGCTATACTCGTCGTATAAGACGAGTATAGCCCAAAATAATGTTTAAATGCACCCACTAACATCCATGGCGGTATTCCCGAGTGTGGCTCGGGGTTCATTTTCAGTACCATAAGCGGTAACCACGAGCCACACTCGGAATTACAGTCTCTTACCTTGCCCACGATCCCCGCTGTGTTCTCCGGCTTCCGCTGAGTCAATCACGACAGGCTTTGTATTCATTAATGCAAAGCGTGCCGTGATTGGCTCAGCGCCTTATACTGTATATAGCCGAAGCTACATGCAGTATACCGTATCCTTCCGTATGTACCTGGCGTATAAGACGACCCCCGATTTTCGGGGGATGTTTTAAGGTCTCAAAACCCGTCTTGTACGCCGGCAAATACGGTAATCTAAAGACAATATTTTATTTTAGGCTTGCCCATTTGTAATGAGAAACCACATAACTGATACAATTAATTTATGTTACAAAACAGTATGTGGCAGTTCTTGAGATTGCTTCAAAGACCTTGTCCTTTCATGTGAAGAATCAGTAAAGTGCAATTGTGAGAAAAAGTAAGAAAAACGTTGAGTACCCAAAGTTCTGTAAACCTGGATTTCTGCATGCCTGCTTCCTAAAACGTATTTTGCCCTGAATGTATGCCTTGATAAACATGACATTCTTAACAAATATAACATTTACAGTGCCATATCTATACTGATTAAACAGTCAAGGTCACTGATGGAAATACCATGTGAACTTTTATGTCTTGTAACTAAGTGGAAACGCCTTAATTAGAAATAACCTCATCCAAACATAAAGCTGTCTAGCAGTTAGGAGATATTTTGACTCATTACTGCACATTGTATACAAGTCTGTTTCAGTTCATGTAAATTTTGCAATGCTTAATTAGCCTGTTTCAGATCACAGTGCAGGATTTCATGATATAAAATGGAACTTACTGGACCCTATATAAATGCAGTCATCTTGGTCCTCAAGCAGCAAAGCAGCTCCCACTAATATTCCTTTTTCATCATGCTTCACCAGGTTTTGGTGTTGACTCGCAGTGATTTGTTCTTTCCAAATATATCGATGTTTACATTGACCAGAAAGTTTTATATGATCTCTCCGCAGACCATGGCTTCATTGTCCTAATAGTGTTGTGGAACATCTGGGTGTATTATTGCAAACTGTAGTTGAGCTTCCATGAGCAACATACTAGAGAAACATACACCATCTATCACCTGTTTGAAAATTGATACATTGTTCCTTTGTGTTAACTATTGCAGAGCTACACTCTAATGAAGATTTTCTGCAGTGCTAATGTCTTCCTTTTGCAAACTTCCTGTGTGTCTCGGCACCAGAGGAGGTCTAAGTCTTCAGAAATCCTTTCCTTAAAAACCCCATAGCGTTCTTAGCTTCAAAAAATCTCTCTCTGAGGTCCTATAAAATCTTTTTTGATTAGGTCATAGTGAACTTCAGCAAGTTAAGAAAACGTTTTGTGTTTTGGTATATAGCAAGACAAGTCAAACCTGCACTGAATGGACAGGTACACCTAAATTACTGGTTAGAGGATCTGACTCAATTCAAGTCAGCAAAAAAGTTTAACAGATGTTTTGCTATTTTTTAATTAATTTTGTTCTCTCTATTTCAGTTTTAACTGGTATGTGTATTACTGCTTCATGACTCTAGACTTAAAAGGACCAGCACAGGGTCATGTTTTTCAGAAATCTAGGCAGCTGCAAAGCTGTGATAAGTGGTCACAAAAAAAACCCCATTGATTATTAGTCTATGATTGTTTGAGATCTGTAAACCCTTCTAAGTCTGTTTTGGGAAACACTAACTAAAAAACATTAGACCAGTAGCAGCAATTCAAGCATTAATCTAAATAAATAATAATACGTTCACAAACTTTTTCTCAGAACTGTAAATGAGCTTTTAAAGTCCAAAACCACTAGCAACACTTTTTGGGGCTATTTCACTAAAGAGGTCATTTTTATATTAAATACCAAGTCAGGTGCAGAAGACAATTCTTTCTTTTATTTTAATTATCCTAAACCTAAAAGGTTACTAGAGATAAACCAATTCATGAGTGATAATATCCCTTGAGAACAAGGGTGGAAAACTCTGGCCCTCCAGCTGTTGTGGAATTACAAATCCCATGAGGCATTGCAAGACTGACAGTTACAGGCATGAGTCCCAGAGGCAGAAGCAAGTTGGGATTTGTACTTAAAGCATAGCCGGAGGGTCGGAGTTGCCCACCCCTGCTTTAGATAGACAAGTCCCTTTATGACAGTCAAATTGGTGTCAAATTAGGCTCCAGGCAGACCTCACACTCCTTTGCAGTCCTTAGTGATTAGTGAGGGGATTCTTAGTGAGGGAATACACTTACCACTCAGGTATTCCACTCTCCCAGGTGTATGGAATCCCAACATACACTGTGGTTGTTTCCACCACATTAAATGTCACTACAAGAAGTACATGCCGGTGGAAGGTACCACTGTGTACGACAGGGGTGACAGGGGTAACATGTATTTGCAGTGGCCCAAGAGCAGTAAAGCAAATGTGTTTTTTGGTAACACTAAACTCAGGAGTTTAACCTTACAAATGTATTCAAGCACCTTAACTATTAACAAAAATGTATCTTATTTTTGTATCACTCAGTAAATCCTAAAATCATCTCTGAATTGGTGCTGACACTGTCCTTCCTTCTGGAATGGTAACTACTTTTGTTCCCCATGGCCCCTGTGTGTGTTGTAAAGTAGCCATCGCTCCAAGCTCACTACAGTGATGTACTCTAATTTCAATACAAATTAGTAAACTGCACGTGAGATTGAAGTCCATCACGGGAGCCAGCTTGGAGCGGTGGCAATGTTACAATACTCATAATTCCCTGACCTCCCCTTTGACAAATGTCTCTTTATTGATTTGAGATCGTATACACAGCCTTAATCACTGTTCATATAACCCAATATTTTTACAATTATCAGGTCATGATTACTTCTTGTCTGGTAAATTAGATCCTTCTTTTTTAACCTGGACTGAATCTAAAGGTTTATGACACAAAGATATGTTACAAGGTGATGCTCTGATCCCACTTCAATCTTTGCAATCTCGATGGGGAATTTCTTGGCATTTCAGTTGTCTCATTTTGTCTCTCCATTAAAAAAGCCATTTAGATCAATTTTGCAGTTTTTTGCATTTAATAATGTACTTGGTGCTAAAGACCCCCCCCTACTCATTGTTTGCCTCTAATCTATAAAATTCTGAGGGGTCTGAAAGACTCGATACCTACCCTGTATATTATTAAATGGGAAAATGATCTACAAAGAATACTTTTAACTACTCAATGTTCTAGGTTATTGCAATTGTGTTTTGCTGTATCACCTGATAATCATTCATTGGAAATCAATGTTAAACTTATGGCAACCTGGTATGCTATTCCTCCTATACTACATGAAATATGCACTGAAAACCCACCATTGTGTTTGCATAATTGCGGTACGATGGGTATATACGCACACTTATGGTGGGATTGTCCAATTACCAATAAATATTGGCAATATGTTATTTATTTTATTACAATTATAACTGGTGTTCAGGTGTCCTTAGATCGAAAATCTGTAAATTTGTACAAGAAGTTGTTATGTTAAATGCAGCTAAAGCTTTAATTCCTAAATACTGGCGATCTTTTAAAATCCTCCCTATTAAGGATTGGTTTGCACGAATAGACAAAATAATTTTTTTGGAGGAACTTACATACACTGATTTAGACAACTATGATGAATTTCTTAAGATATGGGCTTGTTGGTTTGATCATAAACAATCTGATATATATGTAACTTCCATATTACCAGGTTAAGATATTTTAAATATAAATATATATATTTTTTGTTAATATTATTTTGAGAAGGCCTCAGTGATTGATATACACAGCTTAATTATGCATGCTAACCAGAGAGATCTTTAAGTAGATTTAAATAAATTTTTTTCTCCCCTCATTGTTTTTATGATGTTTATCTAAATTGTACTTCTAGATTTCGATGTATTTAATGTTGTTTTCATTATGGTTTGTGCTTTTTTCTTTTTATGTTTTGTGTAATTGTATTTATTATGGAACAAATTTAACAAAGAGATAATAAGCAAAAACTTTACAATACTCATAAGGACCTTTGGGAACAAAAGTAGTCACCCTCCAGAAGGAAGGACAGTGTCAGGATGAATTCAGGTACTTAAATGCATTTTTAGGATTTAACTCCTTAGTTTAGTGTCACTTTAAGCACTCATTTTATAGCTCCTATTTTCTTTTATTAATCAAAAAATATGACCACTGAGTTTAGTGTCATATTTTTGTCAGGCCTCCGGAAAGGTAAGTATATTTCCTCTGTTTTTATTAGGTGTGTTTTTTTAGATATAATGACAACGTAACTTCAAAGTGAATCTGTGATCATAATGTGGTCTTACTCATAGAGGGCAAAGTTACAGAATTACTTTAATGCAGATCCTCAAAGCAGCATATACCCCCCGCTTATTTCTGCTGCCTTAGAAGGAAAGCTCTGTGAAGGTAATGAGTCACAGCTTACACAGAGCTATGGGCTCCCTATGTGACAGCACTGTCATATGGATTGTGTCACATGCTCTGCCATATCTAGACATTCTGGGAATTTCCTTTGGCTCCATGCCCTGAGTGTGTGGCAGAGTTAAGGATAGGTAAGTATATGCTGCTTGGGATGGGGGTATTAAAACAAACCTGTTTTTTGCCCTGAGTTCATTTGGGTTTGACTTGCCTTCTATGAGAATTTTAAACATGTTGCAATATTCCAACTGCCACCAGATGGCATTTTAATACTATTATTCTTGTTCCTTATGTCATCCTGTTATGCCGTTCACTTAAATTTGTGCAAAAGGAAAAC